TATTTTATGGATTTTCAAGGTAGACGAAGCCTAGTAGAGTGCAAAATGAATGTCATCATGTCTTTGTCCAGAAGTTACAATAGGCGATTTCTGCCAAAAATGTCGAACACCAAGTAAGCTTTATTAGGTAAACTGATCATAAAAATTGTGGGTTTTACCGCACTTCATTTACCTTTTGGTAACAGATAGACTTACAAAATAAACGCATATGGGGGGGTCATACGTCATGTGGGATTAGAGTTGCAAGTCTACAACACACACACCTTTCTTATACGCATTCTTGCAATACAGTCAAAAATTTAGTCACTTGTTGAATCATAAATCCAAGGAATTAAGGTAAATGTCATTATGTACCATCAATTTCTGGCAATGGTTTTATGGGTTTGCGTTTCTGGAAAGCTGCAACGTTACGATGGTTTTGAGTCTCCATAGGTTGTACTTTCACTCGACGGCACTGCCTTCCAGCCATGCCTACTGCCTTTAAGTTAATCTTTACGTTAGCAATAAATCTTTCATACTGGTATGGTTTATAACAACTGCAGCAGAAACTCGATTCTCCGTGACATCATGCAATTGTCAATAGTTTTAAATTGATGACTTACATGGGAAGGCCTTGGTTCATAAACCACTCGTTGACTTTTTCCATATCCCAAAGACTGATTTCGTTGGTCTGATATGTCACCAAACTTTTGTCCTAAAAGCATTTCAATAGGTAACCTGATGGAAACGCCCTGTTGTAATGTGTTCCATCAATGAGGTCGTAGTTTTTCCAAACTTTTATAATAGCGGCGAAATGAGAAATCTTGTTCTATGAAAAGCCGATGATTTTAAGAAAATGTTGGGCAAAAGATAACCTTATTTTGAAGTGGTACAGTATGATGGATGACAATTTCTAGGAGGATACTTGTTTCATAGTCAACCGAGAATCACAAAATGTAGAAGACATAAAGTCAATAGTTAGAGGCCTACATAAATCTCGGCCTTGTTGTCCCTGACGGACATTTTGATGTTGGCCAGACGGTGCAGGAGTTCACTGGAGGCGTCTTCGAAGGTGAACTTTCCCGAGAAGTCGATGCAGGTCCGTCTGGCTGTGAGGACACCCAACCACCCATCTGGCAAGTAGCCCTGCTCCACTCGGCAGAAGATCATCGGCTTATCCAACTTCTGTGCATACTGTGCCTCTGCCAATGGCAACCAGAGGAAGACAACTAGGTCCATGCATTGATTAGCTTAGTGGATGGGCTTCAAAAGGTTGAATGAACTAGGTGGCTCAATTACGAGCGTGTCTTGTGGCGTGGGTTTACAAATAATCGCATTTGCTCTTTGAATTCTGTTTATGTACTAGGGTAATTTCTTTTGCATTTTAGGATAGTCACCACTGCGTTAATTAAAGCGTGATTCATGTAACGAGTGTCAAGTCGCCAAGATCCAAATGCACTAATATTTGTTAGTCCCATTTGTAATTAACTTCTACAACTGTCGAGAACTTCACAGTATATCAATGGAAGGTATGCTTAGAAGGTTCACTATCAGGGTCTAAGAGAAAAATTGTTCGTTACAGCCCGTGTATCATCTACATGTGACACACGGGAGATCTTTAAAAAATGAGGGGCTACGTATACGTGATGCAGACAGCTGGCATAATACAGTACAAGTTCACCAACCCCGAGAGCGCAATTCTTGTTACAGATGATGGTTCATTTTCATAACCCACCTCCCACACACTGTTGAACTTAGAACTGCCGAAGATCGGGACGCAGGCAGATGCAAGAGTCATATTTAGCATGCGCACAACAAAATCACGCAATAATTCTTGGTTTTCGAAGACTAGCTGCGGGTTTAATTATTTTGGTTTTGTAAGCTCGGCTGTATTCGGACGTTGATAGTGCTCTGCGTTTGTCGCGACGGAATAAGCACCACCAAACTATCACGTGAAATCATGAAAAAATGCTGAGAATATATAGTGTAACAGAGCATGAATTAATCTCCATCGATACGTGTCCGCAAATCTGTTCACCATATAGTCACCGTTCATAATAAACAGGAAGAGGATCCAATTTTTGCACTAAAGAGACACAGAGAATTACTTCTACTTACATCGTTCAATGCAAAATGAATAACCTACAAGGAGATCATCATATAGGGCAACAACTTATACCAAGCGGCATAAACGATTCGCTGAGAAAGACTTTAAAGGTAATGTACTTATGCAGACTAAACCCGCCTCATTTACTATGATTCAGTACTGACAACCTCGAAATCTGGAACAAAACTAGGAATTCGCAAAACACACGTTCCAGGGTGCAACAAACACTTAAAATGGCGTTTGTACAATACAGAAATGAATTGCAGCCTCGGAATTAAAGTGAATAGGTATATAAACAATTGTTTTGCTCGCTAAAATGCGTAGGGTCCTCGA